ATTCCAACATGTCGGCCCCTGCCATCACAGTTTTTAAGGCTAAAGTCACCCGAATGAAATTTGTTAAACAATCGTTAACACTTACGAACGTTCAAAACATTTCCATAAACTTCTTTGATATTCTTTGTGGCTACAGAGGCGTTGTTTCCCTTCTTGTAATCAAACAGCATTACATGCTGAATGTGTGTCATCACTATAAGGGATTAAAGTATACTAAACGTTACACATTATATAGGCTACACTAACGTGACGTTTAAGCGGTTCGTTTAACTATTATACGTGATGTTTGTTTGTTTGTTGTTGTGTTTTGTTTTTTTTTGGGGGGGGGGTTATGAAAGTGTTCTAAAACGCGACATGAATTTCTTGAAGACCTAATATTTAGAAATATCGGTAACGTAGAATTAAGCCAACCCGATAAGAATTCTACAAAAACTCCCAACCTCCACCCTTTTAATTAATGTTATAAATAATAATAATATAATGTTCTTATAGTAGAACTAAGCCACCCTCAATTTCTACAGAACTTCCAACCTCCATCCTCATATTTGATATTATAAATGATGTTAAACAAAATAAATTACTCTTACCGTTCAAGCATAAACCGGGTGAACTGAGACAAGCCCAGCTACCTGAAGTTGGTCATTCCGCCCCGGTATACTGAACTATTCTAAAAGTAACAATTAGCTATTTAAATCATGGAACTAGCACCCTCTAAATTTTCCATAATGTATACGCCGTGAACGAGAACTTAACCCTTAATATAGTTTCATATTTATTATAAAATAGTAAAAAAATATTAATAAAACTCTCCTGATGACCATTATTTTTCAGTTTATTTATGACTAAATTAACATAATTCATAAAGAAATTACTGTTATTACAAATAGTTAAAAACCTTTTTAATTGAGAGATAATAATCTCGTTTAACAATATCGACGGAACAACACTTTTAGGGGTGGGTAAACCAAGGATGGGAAAATTAAATACTCTTATCAAAAATAGTCAACTGTAAACTACCTTCTGCTAACTTAATGTCTACATCTAAATAATGAACATAAATGTCATTGTTATTACATCTTTTTATTATAAACTCTGTTGGGTATATTATTCTTGAATCAAAATTCAGGTTATTGAGTGAAATTAAATCGTCTATGTAATGAAAAGTATACAAATATAAACTAGGGTTTAATACCTGTTTCAAAAAGAAATATTCATAGAAAAATAGAAACAGGTTGGCCATCTTCGAAGAGAAATTAGCGCCCATTGTAATACCCACTGTTTCTTTATATACTTCTTCATTAAAAGTGATATAACTATTGGCCATGTTAGAAGATAAGTCAGCGTCTGGCCCGGTGATTAGGGTGCTCGACTCGCAATCTGTGGGTCGCGGGTTCGAATCCCCGTTCCACCAAACATGCTCGCCCTTTCAGTCGTGGGGGCCTTATAATGTGACGGTCAATCCCACTATTCGTTGATATAAGAATAGTCCAAGAGTTAGCGGTGGGTGGTGATCACTAGCTGCCTTCCCTCTAGTCTTACACTGTTAAATTAGGGATGGCTAGCGCAGATAGCCCTCGTGTAGCTTTGCACGAAATTCAAAAACAAACAAACAAATAAGCGCCCATTGTAATACCTACTGTTTGTTTATATACTTCTTCATTAAAAGTGCTATAACTATTGGCCATGTTAGAATATAAATTAGCACCCATTGTAATACCCAATGTTTGTTTATATACTTCTTCATTAAAAGTGCTATAACTATTGGCCATGTTAGAATACAAATTAGCACCCATTGTAATACCCACTGTTTGAATATTTTGTTCTTCATTAAAGGTGATATAACTATTATATGTACAAAAATTAAGTATATCTTTACAATGATATTTAGTTAATTTACGTTTTGAAATACTAATTTCTGTATCTATAAGTTTATCGAATTGGTCACTAAGGACCCTAATTAAATCTTTCACATTTATTATAGGATATAAAGTAGTGAAATCATAAGTAACAACAGAATTGGCTGTTTGTAGAGTCTAAATTATTTAAACAATGCAAAACCGAAATATTGTTTTTTTTATGATCCAAAAATAATGGTTCGAATCATTTGAAGACATTATTTTTTTCAAATAAGATATCCAAAATATTGTTAAGTACTAGAGAAACAGATTTAGTAACAGTATTTGAATAGTTGGTAATAAACCTGAACTTGAACCTGAATTTTATGTAATTTTGGAATTACATATAAAAATGGCAGGTTAAAATAAGAAGAGTCTATATTAATATTCCGTTTTTAATGTCTTTCTTCAAATTAGTAATAACTATATTTTTATTTAAAGTACGTTTTGTAAAACTATTTGTTGTACTAATTTCTTTAATTAAAATTTATGCATATAACTTTTTTACAAATAAAACCAAAACTACAACCGGCTTTATCAATGGGTGTAATAATATTTTTAAAAAATATGAAAACAAATATATATTTTATATTTAGATAAATTTAAAGTTTTCAATCGTTTTTTTAAGAATAATTTCCATTCAAAAAAGAAACACGGGGTTAATAAGTTTTTTACTGATTTTGATAATATAGTAATCAATATTTTTCCAAGTCTTTTAAAATATCACCTTTATTTGTCTTACCACTTGGAAACATTTGATATAGTCTTAACTATGATAAGAAAAGCTCGCTTTTATTTTTCAACACAAAGAAGATATGAGACGAAAATATTACCTGTACCCCAGCTCAAGGGTTCAATATCAAGTCGGGATCAGTTGTTTTCTGTACTTTCTTACGCAATTATATGTTTGTGAGCAAAACAGGTAACTTGATCTTCAATCTCCAGAAATATGTTAAACTCTTACTCGCATTTCAATCACATGAATTTTCATGTTTTCTGGATGTTTCCACACTTCTAGTCCTGGAAGATGTTTTCATTCATGTGTTTCTCTGCATCTATTTTTTTTTTTTTAATTTCGCTCAAAGCAAGCCACACGAGGGTTATCTGCTCTAGCCGTCCCTAATTCAGCAGTAATAGATTAGAGGGAAGACAGCTAGTCAACACCACCCACTGCCAAATCTTGGGCTACTCTTTTACCAACGAATTTTGGGATTGATCGTGACATTATAATGCCCAACGGCTGAAAGGGTAAGTATGGTCGGTGACGGGAATTCGAACCAGAGACCCACAGATTGCGAGTCGATCGCCCTAACCATTAAGTCATGCCAGGCCTCTCTGCATCTATTAAATGTTGGGTTCAGTTTTCTGAACCACCTTGAAATGAATTAATAAGTGTTTACATGAGAAAGTCGAATTTAGTTCTGGTGTTTACCTTTATATTTTAACCACTGTGGAAGTGATAGATCTATAACTTCTCAGTCTTTTAGACTTTTAGACTATAAGGAAAAAAACACGTTAAACTCATTGCACTGGATAATATAACCAACTGGGAACATTAGGTTGAAATGTCAAGGTGAAAAGCTATTCGTGTAAATAAAAGTTTCCACTTTCTACTAACAAATTGCGCTTCTTATCATAGAATTATGAATGAGCTAATGAGAGTTGATATAGCGCAAAATTACAATATTAAGCAGCTCATGTTATTACTTTTGTTACCCATTGTTTCACAATACGTGGATAACATTATTTCGAGGACGTTAGACGAATTTCAGTTTAATAATTCTTCGATAAAATGTTACTTTTATTGGTCAAGCTTGTAATTACAAAACATTAAAAGCGTATTTTATTAATTAATTGTATAAAAACATCTAAAGTTATAAGTTACTAATATTTGAGAGTTTTTATATTCCCATAATAACGACCAATAGTTACAGTAGCATGCAGTTCAAAACCAGTTATTTCTTACCTTGCTCACCATAAGTTTGTACTTAGCAAAGATGTCTTTTGATCGCTTGCTCTGAGCAAGTTCACCTTCATGCTTGCTAACGTAAGACTTTGCGCGCCTGTGAAAATAATAACAATAAAAATTAGGAACACGTATCAAAGTCATATGAAAGCATGAACTATAAAGAACATTATAATCTTTTTTTACACACTTCACAGTTGCATATCTTTGGGAGGTTACACTGCCCCACAATTAAATAAGATATGGTGTTGATGCTAACTGAAACCCCACAACAGTTGTAACAGTGCAATATTTCATATGGATCTACACGTGTACTAAGGATTCCTTAAGAAAGGGGTTCCCAAATTGTGCCAGCAGGAAAGTGGCAAATACAGAGTACTGTTAAGGTACTCAGAATCTATAGATTTATTGAAAGCGGGGCTTCAGTCAGAGTGCGGACTGTTCTGAGGTCCTTGTACTGACAGTTTGAGACCCCTGCTTTACGAAAGTAAAAGTTTTTGTTGAGTTAGACATCGTGTAATAGTTATAGCACGTATTAAGTTATGAGATTTTATTCTCTTTGTATATGTTACAAACCATTTACGCAGTATTTTCTCTGCATAATCACTAAACGGTCAGCCATTTTATGGCGCATAATTTCAAATTGTTGGCCACATAATTGTTTTTTGTTGCACAAAAATAGAGGCCTGTAAAAAGAACAAATTACTTTTGACCACGAGTAGTTATTTTTTATTGTTGTTAAGCGCAAAGCAACACAATGGCTTTGCGTGCTGTTCCAACGATAGTTATCGTTATATAACTTCAGGCCTACCGCTGAGCCACTGGAAGGCAACCGCGTTTACGTGTAGTATAACAGGTTTGGTTTTATAATATCTATGAGCCTTCTTAGCACAAAATGTGATGTAATTCATGATAAACAAACAAATCATTACCATATGCCAAAAGGTACGTTTATCTTCATTCAATACATATTGTTATTATTATAAGTTCTCAGTTCTTCTAAGTTTACGCTTTTTTTTTGTCTAATGAATTTGTTTGTTTATTGTTAAGCACAAAGTTACACAACTGGCTATCTGTGCTGAACCCACCGTGAGTATCGAAACTTGACTTTTAACGTTATATGCCACCAGATTTGCCACTGAGCCACTAGGGTAGGGTCCAATGAAAATTAGATGACTTTGGTAGTGAAGTTTTCGAGAACACTGAAATGTTGTCCATCACCAGTGGAAACGATATGGCATTGCCTGATGTGTTTCGTAATTAATTAATTTGCTTCCGAATTATACTTGTGGCTTCAATTTGTTGTTAGAGCCACCCTTACCCCTCCCCCACAAAAAAAATCTGGTTCCGCCATAGTTATATAGTCATTTATGTGAGTCTTGTTGAATCTCCGTAACTACATTTATGTCATTTTGTCTGTCTGTCGTCAAGATGTTGGAAAAAAGTATGCGAGTGGTCATCAGAAAAGACTTCTTCGTGATGATGCTGTTTTACAGAAAATGACAAAGATAAGCTCACTTTTACCTAAATAACAGAAGGAAAAAAGAGGTAAGGTCTCTTTGAAAAGTTCTCTCTTTTCTTAAGATGACTTGGTGTGAGGTCAGTCATAGTCCGTAGCAATATATCCAAGTAGTGTGGGTTGTGGTGACTGTACTACGTCAATGCCTTGTAGCTCTGATCCGATTGATGGGTTAAAATCAATGACCAAATTCATCCACAATTTGCTCAAAAAGCACTATTGCATGATGATTTTACTAATTCTGTTTGAATATCTGAAGACATGATACTTAAACAAAAGCCTATTTTGGACAGATAGCTAATGGATGGCTGAAAGAGTCTAAGTGGTTCAAATACTCATTCTCTAATAGTAACTTGTGTTTCTACATCTGTATATAGGTTTCAAAGATAGGCGCTCTTTTCTTTAAAAGAATTAACTGTTAGAAGTATGCTCATCGTGAAGCTCCTGAACATGAAAATGGCATTGCTCATGAGTAGGACGCGTTTTCATGTTTTGCATTTCTGACTTGTTGAAATTGGGGGGGCCCTTTTTCTGTTGCACATACTGCAGTTAAGTTTGCACATAAGTAGCAATATCGACAATGTCTTCTGCAGTGGGTTCTCTTACATTTCTTACGGAAAGAAGGTTTGTGTTCCAAAATGAACCATTTGTCTCCATCTACAACGATAATAATTAGACATTGTAGAACTACTTCCAAAGTTTTATATTTTCGCAGCAGAACATATAAATAGATTTGGAAATGCAGACAAATTGATACCTCTGTATCTGTCATCAACAATTTGTTATTAATTCAGCGATTGATTGGGCAATCATGAAGTTACGTGAGCTTAACAGAAATCAAAATCATGCTGAGGCATGTATTACATACTCATAAAATAATCATAATAATATTTAACATGTTTTATATATAAAATGTAATTCAATTATTTACCGAGGGATGGCAGTAATCTATGAAGAACTCTTAACTATATAGGTGACACAGATTCAGAATCAAAATAAAACAAGAGGAAATCCTCAATATCCGCGACACTTGAAATTATTTTAGGCAGGATTAAAGTAAATTAATGTACGAGACCTTTTTTCTTTTTCTTTTTCTTTTTCACTAGCTATATTTTTTGTGCGTTAGCAATACCAAGCGTGGCGCATGCGTATATCCGATTCAATTATTTATTACTCATCAGGATCTCTACCAGTCTACCCTCAAATTGAAATTATTTTAGGCAGGATTAGAAAAATTAATCTGAGCCCTTGGGCGTGGTCAAATACATCAATCGAAAGGGTTGACTCCTGAGTACAAAACTGTAATTAGATCTCATATCGGTCAAGAGATGACAGAGCTATGAGCTAAATGTTTGTACTTGGAAAAAAAAGCTCAGAGCCGTTCTATGAGCCGCTATGCCGCGGCTAAAAACAACAAACTAATCTTTAGAATCGATTCAGTGACTGGCTTTGCTTATGACTGCGTGATTATGTCTAAGTATGGCCTACAACATGAGGTTAACGGTCTGTTGCAATCTACTCACACCTATAGTGTACGGAAATTAGAAAAACAATGGCGTCACTGCGGACAACTCCCAATGTACTTAACAACGAAAGTTATCGAACTACTCCTAGTTTTAGATTTTCAAATATTTAAAACTTTACTTGAGCTTTAATAAAATCTCATCTTTTCACTTCGGTATTAGATAAACGTCTTAAAGCTGGTCATTGGCTCTTAAAGAATATTTTGTGCTTATATTTGCATACAAGTGAACTTGCAACTGATAGGTGTCTTGGTCTAGTTTGTTTGTTGTTAAACACATAGATGCACAATGGGCTATCTGTCTCTGTCCACCATGAGTATCGAAACCTGGTTTCTAGCGTTATAAGCTTAAAGAATTACCACTTTGCGAATGGGGGGGGGGGGGGCGTGGTTTCTAGGCTTTATTTCTTTGTGTTTGTGTGTGTGTGTGTGTAGAAACTTGATACTGTACGTTTAGACAGCTAACTGCGATTTAAACCATAAACCAAAAAGCCCACATTTAATAACTGCGGGCGCTGACTATAACACACTCCGTAATAATACGTCAATAGCTCAAGTTAATTCAGTATCTCAATCCTTAATTTATTCTTAACCTGCAAATATCGAATTAAACGTTTTGACTACTAAGACTAATGATCAACGCGTAGAAATTAAATGTACGAGTCATTGTCAGTTAAATTGAAATATTATTTAACTCATCTTTGTTAATATTATTAATTTTTTTATTACATTTCAAAATGGTAAATTAAAACTGTTAATCTTATTAGAAATAGCTGTAAGTTTGTTTGTTTTTCGTTTTATATTAATGTATGTCAGTCTATTAAACAGAAACAGGAAATGGTTTAAGTATCTACATATACTGCATTAAACATATTCAATAGAGAGCTGGTATATTTTTTAATAGTTTGCTGTTCAAACATTTATAACCGTAAAATGTATTATTATTTACTTCGTGTTCGTGTTAGGGATTATCTGCACATACAGACGGATGAACGCGGCTTTGGTAATAGTTTAGTTCCAATTGGGGGTTTTACGTTAACCTTACAATTTAGGTCCCACAATGTTTTTGTTTTTTCTTGATTTCGTATCTATGGATCATATAGGTAGAGAAACTAATGGGTGCTACTTATGGTATCCTTGTATTATTTTCCACTCACTGTTACTCCCTGTCAGAGCTTAATACCTTAATATTTTATACTTTTACAGTATATATTACAAAGTATAAAGGGTATATTCCCTCACCCCCTTATCACAGGAAGAGGAGGTATACAATTTATTTTGTACATCTGATATATCTGTCCACTGAAGTTGGACAGTATGTGTGTCACTCCATACGTCAGTTCATCAGAAAGGGTGGGGGAGCATATATACAGTTATCTGATTATTCTAATTTCAATATGTAACTTGATTAGCATATCACTTTAAAACATACATTTATACAGCACCTGTAACAGTGGGTGTTTTGTCTTTACTTATTTACACCATAAATTGTCTTATTTCAACACCTGTAACAGTGGGTGTCTTGTCTTTACTTATTTACACCATAAATTATCTTATTTCAACACCTGTAACAGTGGGTGTTTTGTCTTTACTTATTTACACCATAAATTATCTAATTTCAACACCTGTAACAGTGGGTGTCTTGTCTTTACTTATTTACACCATAAATTATCTTATTTCAACAACTGTAACAGTGGGTGTTTGTCTTTACTTATTTACACCATAAGTTATCTTATTTAAACAACTGTAACAGTGGGTATTTTGTCTTTACTTATTTACACCATAAATTATCTTATTTAAACAACTGTAACAGTGGGTGTTTTGTCTTTACTTATTTACACCAAGAATTATCTTGTTTCAACACCTGTAACAGCGGGTGTCTTGTCTTTACTTATTTACACCATAAATTATCTTATTTAAACAACTGTAACAGTGGGTGTTTTGTCTTTACTTATTTACACCAAGAATTATCTTATTTCAACACCTGTAACAGCGGGTGTCTTGTCTTTACTTATTTACACCATAAATTATCTTATTTCAACACCTTAAAACGTCTGCACATGACCTCCATTCACTTGTGTTTAAGTGCCGGGGCGGAGGAAACCCGAGCCATTACCCGAGTCGCTGACATAAAAGACAGCTTTCGGTTCCTGGACGTCACGTGCTATCTTCCCTGTAAGAAACTCGGTTAATTGCAAATTAGTGGAATAGGTCCCTAAAAAGCTCGCAAGAAGCAAAGTTGAGATGTGTTTACTTAAACAACTTTCTACATACAAACTGAACTGAAAGAAAAAACAAATATCGAAAATATTAAAATATTAGCTAAGGGAGAAGAAAACACGTGATACCATCTTATACCACAACAGAACAAATGGAGTAATTTTTATTATATATAATAATAAAAAAAACATTTGTTTCAAAATGGCCAAGGATTCGAGATGACCACACTCGCTTTCTCCATATGGTCTGAAGATATAACACAAAAAATATATTCTGAGACCTATATGACGTGGTAAACTCAGAGTTACTCTGCACTATAAGGTTTTTCTGGTAAATTCTGAGATTGTGGTCTTGTTCTATAGTATTGGTACAACATTCTCAAGGACAAAATTTAGTAATTGTAGTATAATGATAACATATCAGCTTCAAAGGAGTAAGGTTTTTTAAAAATCCTAATATTTTTAAACGTGCTCACCTAAGGACAAGTATATATAAAATATTTCTTGCAAAGAATGAAGTTATTCCAAAATTAGTCCTGGAAAGTAAAATAATACTCAAAAATTAAAAAGGAAATTATATTTCCAAATTAGTTAAGTGATGGTTGTTCCGTGTATATCTGATCTAAAACGCCTTTAAAATTGAGTCCCTACTTTTTCATTGCATATCACGTTTTTTTTTTAGTTTGTTTTTTCATTTCTCCATGCACAACGATCATTTTATAAAGACTTATAACATAACGTTTCGGGGTCTAAACCCCGCGACGAACACAATACAGGTAGCCCACTGAGTGGTTTCTCCCTAAAACAAAATAACGACAAAATTTACTTTTTCGTAGCTTACCGTAGTATTTTGTATTTCCTTTTCATCCTCCAAGGCTGGTTTTTTATAGATTCAATGACTTGCTTATATAACCTCATGTTGTCTAGTATCTCTTCTTCTGTTGCGTCATCATCGATTGAAATTGCTGTATCGCTACAATACGAAAATAAACCACCAAGAATGACTAGAAGAAAATGTATCACAGAATATAGTTACAAACAATCCAAAGATGTCATCGCTCCTCAACTTTTACATAAAGACAAAAGGAAAAAAAGAATCCCCTAATGATAATATTAAATACATATTTGAAATTATATAAAACATTATTTTTAAGTCTTGTTTGCAAATAATAATAATAATAATAATTATCATATATATTTTCATATATTTTTATATTTTCTTTTAATTCTGATACTTTCAGTATCATTCCAAAAATATATATATTTTTGGATTACGAGTAACAAGTGACGTTCGTGTACTGTTCTTTTCTTTACATTTTCACATTGAAGATGTAG